CCTTTCATTTGAGTACCCATATCAATTTTTCATATATTTTATAATATATTTATATATATTATATATGAAAAATATATCAAAATGCATGTGGGTACTTAAATGAAAGCTCTTGATGAGTGTAACATCGGGATGAGCTTATATCTTTAAAAATGTCAATAGTTAAAAAATTACAGTGGAATTTAACAAAATTCATTATTTAATAAAGCAAAATTTTATTTATTTATAGTTCACAAGTCATAGCAATCACATAATGACTGCAAGGTTGCTAGTTTATTTATTATTTGGATTGTAAGAAAAGGATACTTTTAAATTTCCAGGAAAATGAATGTGATATTTTTTTGTTAACATAAAAATTTTTAAATAAATAATTAGTAATTCTTCAAAAAAAAATATAATGAAATAAATTTTAGACATTAAGTCTGTGTATTTATTTTTTATAATTTTATATTAACAATTAATTATACTTACATACTAATGGTACTTATTAAATTAAATACCACGTAGTTGATTAATTAAAGACGATAAAAATGTTTATATGTAAAAAGAATATTTTATATAATATTATAATTATCCTCTTCTATTTATTAATTTTTTTTTTCACGTTCGACGTTTAAATTTTAATACTTAGATGACAGATAAAATGCTGAGGAATGACTGTCAAAAACAATATTAAGGACTTTATTATGAAAATTCAGCAGTAATTGTGATTTAATCCTCGCCGAGCAGATCCTCATCGAGATTGACGTCCTGTAATAATTATATATTTATTATGCTGGTAGTTATCGAGTATTTTTTTTATTTTATTTATGTAATTCATTAGTCGCGCTAATATTATGTGATAATTATTGTTGATATATGTAATCGATACAAATTGAACGTGAACGAAGGGTATTCAATATATATAGGCATATATATGCCTGAACCGACGGATACATGTGAGTAATGTATTCAATGTTTTAGTATGTTAGCCGAGAGCTTTTGCAAAAACCCCCAGGCTGTTTATTCTATCAGCAGTCACGGTGTATTTTATTTACAGGTTTGTTGCCATAACATACTAAACCCCATTGAGTTAATCCTGCGACAGAGTCGCAAATCGTAGCTGAGCTATGCGTTTTGTCACGCTTTCATACATTGCCTTTTATATATATATATATATATATATGTATACATTCATTATTTTTTTATTTTATACTTCGACTCAGCGTTTATTTATTTTATTTAACAATATCGTTGTTAGTAAATTACGCGTATCTAATTTATTAGTTTCACAAATAAAATTCACAGCTATTCGATATTATCAATTGACTTTACAGATGGATTATTTATGCTACATTTTTTTTTTAATAATAATAATTCAAATAACCGCGCTGTGCATCATTAGATTTTCCAAAATTTTACAAATGATATTTAATTAAAAATTAAATACATATATTTTGTAAAATATTTGTTAAGTATCGTACAAAAAGTAAACTGTAAAATTTATTTTGATTGCGATTAATTTTTATAGTTTTAAACAGCAAAAATAGAAACTATAGAAACTATAAAAATTAATAGCAAAAAGTAAATTAATTCACTAAATATTTTATTAAATTTACTTCACAGTAAAATTTACTTGGATTGCTATTAATTTTTATAGTTTCTATTTTTACTGTTTAAAACTATAAAAATTAATCGCAATCAAAGTAAATTTTACAGTTTACTTTTTGTACGATACTTAACAAATATTTTACAAAATAAGTATTTAATTTTCGTAATTTTTAATGAAATATCATTTTTAAAAATTTTGCAAAATCTAATAATGCACAGCGCGATTATTTGAATGATTATTATTAACAAAAAAACAGTACAGCGGACATCGGGGAATCTTCTATTTGTACGAAAAAAACAATTAGTTAAAAATTTATTATCACTTTAAAAAAGCATTTATTGTCATTAATATCTAATAAAGATATAATATTTAGGTTTAAATCATTTAAATAATTTATAATTAGATTATTGCTACATCAAAATGTTAAAAAATCACCCTCTAAAAAATAAGGAGTTAAACAAATTGTTAATTAGACCATCGATATTACAAAATTTAATGTAGAAAGTGTAAAAGCCACAATTTATAATTTAATATCGAAAATATGATAAGTAGTTGTCACTATAGTAAATAACGGCCTCTCTCATCTTAAAAAATTACAGTTTCAAACAGTAAAAATTGCCGTTTCAATACATAGTCTATACTATGAGAAGGGGAAGGTCTCACACTCGGAGAATTTAACATTTGAAACAGTAAAAATTCTACTTTTAAAATATATATTTTACCAGTCCAAGCAAATCAATAATTATAATTTGATTTTTAGCGTTGCGTTTGAAATTTATCATTTTACTTTGTAAATATTGACGTAACTTGTATAGGAATTTAGTAACTGTAGTTTATATTTTTTACATGTCATGCAATCATTTTTTAGGTACGAAATAATAAATATCAAATTCAAAATTCTTAATTATTATACTTTAACATTTTCGACTTTCACATAGCGAATATTACTGTTTGAAATAGTATTTTTTCAGTGTAAATAATAAATTGTAGCATTTAAATGATAAATATTATAAAGTGATTGTTAAAATCACGAGTTTACTGTTTAAAATGTTAATTTTTTCCAGTTGATCATTATACTTATTATAAATCGACTATTATTTATTACAGTTTACTTTTTCCGTGTACTATTATATTAAATATCATTTAATATAATAAATCTATCAGGAAAATCCATTACGAATGTTTACATAAATTTAATTAATTCCATAATTGTAAAATAATATATTTTAATCCCCAGAATAATATATGTAAAAGTAAATGTACTTGTAATTGATATTTTTAGTTAAAATATATTAATGGACCTGAAAATAAATAAAATAAAAAAGTAATTTATCTTACAGTGGTGTCGATGTTTTCATCAAGCTCGAGATCCAAATCCAAATCCTCATCATCCTCTACCGTCAATGGTCTCGAAGTACTTTTGGGATTCGTTACTTTTTCAGGCACTAACGGCTTCATTTGAGCGGCAGCTTGATCTAAATCAAGCCCTTGCAATCTGTTGGCCAAATAATCATCCTTTTTGTTGTCATCATCCGCTTGTTCGTCATCGTGAGTACCATGTCCAGCGGCTAACATTTCTTCAGCGGGTTTTCGCTCAATATTTAACTGAAAAGTAAGAAAAAAAAAAACCAACGATCTAGATTATCTTAATAACCGTGACTTAATAATAAACACAATACATTGTGAGTATGAACGACTATAAAATTATTAATTTAACGAGATTAAATAAAAATAAGAGTAAGCAAGTAAATAAAACGAGTGGATGCTATTGTTGTTGGTATTATACATTTACAAGTGTAGATTGTAAATTGATTACAACTGAGTAATGGATTAGTTCCGATAGGATTCGCACAACATAAATGTAATCAGTTTACTGTTACGCAATCATCGTAAAGTGTGCGCTGCGATTTAAACTTTAAAACACGGCATTTGATGGATCAATCTGGCCTGTTTAAAGTAATCGTTTTATCGCATAACGATTCATGCATAAATCAATTACACTTAAATTAATAAAACGTTTATTGTTTTATTCTAATTAGATAAGCTCTCCAGTTTTAAATACGTGCCAACTATTCATTATTTTAATATTAAAATCTATATTATTAAGAGAATAAGCAAAATTTTGTGGCCAGTGTATTTATATGATAAAATGGGTTTTTATGATTAAATTTGGTATCATTGAAAAAGTCTTGACTTGAATTTGTGTCTTCTCAAGGTTTCATATCATTCTCACCAATAGTCAATTTATGATGATAAGTATTTTGGCTGCATTCGAAAATGCTCTATCTCTAGATACATAATTAAGAAATGACCTTGTATCTTGTGAACTATTGACGTTTTTAAAGATATAAGCTCATCCCGATGTTACACTCATCGAGACCTTTCATTTGAGTACCTACATCAATTTTTCATATATTTTATATATTTATATATGCTATATATATGTATATATGAAAAATATATCAAAAATGCATGTGGGTACTCAAATGAAAACTCTTGACTAATGTAACCTTGGGATGAGCTTATATCTTTAAAAATGTCAATAGTTAAGAAAGTACAGGGCATTTTAATAAATATCTAGTGAACTATTGACATGTTTAAAGATATAAGCTCATCCTGATGTTACACTCATCGAGACCTTTCATTTGAGTACCCACATCATTTTTTCATATATTTATATGTATTACATATATGTATATATGAAAAATATATGAAAATGCATCTGAGTGTATATCTTCAAAAACGTCAATAGTCTAGAAAAGAGTACAATCAAATAATTACCGGCAAAGTTGGAAATTTCGATGCTGGAATCTTAGTTTTGTATTCTTCCCTCAAGTACTCTTCAACCTTGAGCGCTTCTCTGTAACCCGGGAATAAATTCTCATACTGTTCTGGATCAGCCAAACTTTGTCCAGCTTTTTCACTGACTGCAGAAAGTTTTTCCTTCCACAATTTTACGACATAAGAAATTTTACTTGGCGCATAAGCTCGTGCAAAGAAAGCGGCTTCGGGAATCCGATCAGTTTTTATTAAAATTTCCAAACACTCGTCAACTTTACCCAACAAGAAGTTTGATAAAAATGATATATTATTCTTCCCACTTTCATCAGCTGCTTGTCCAAGTTTTTCAATCATGCTTCCGTTGCCAGTGCTAGTGGCCAGTAAAAGTAACCCACCAAAGTCTTGTGCGTGGTGTAGGCATTCTTGCGCAAGTCTAAGTTTTCCTTGCTGAGTGGCAAGAGAAGCCAACTGCTGCCATTTTTGCTGGCTGCTGGCTTCTTTGGCGAGAGTGTGAGCTGTTTCAAGGTCACCTAGGGAGAGAGCGAGCTCAAATCTGTGCTCGGGGTCTGTTGAGACTTCAAGAGCTTGTCTCTTGAAGCCTTGCTTCTCCAAGAAGTGAGCGACCCGAGTACGGTGTTCTTTAGGTACTGTCGGCAGTACACGGTCAGCTGTCTCGAAGTCTTTTCGCATCACCGCGGTCTGGTACTCCAGTACTGAAAGTAATAGCGAGTAAGAAACGATTCCCAGCTCTTTGTCACACAAGTAGAGACGATTGTCCTTGGGAACGTAGCCCAGGAGGTACATTGGACGGTCCAGATGAGAAATAGTGACGACTTCACCACCTACGAAGTAATTTATACGATTCACGCTGTTGGTGTAGATGAAGCAGTCTCCTATCCAGCAACCAGTCTTGACAACTTCATTCATTTCCGCGACCATTTCAAAAGCATCTTCAATATCTTCTGCGGTCTCGTCTGCATTTAGCACCGCCTCGCTGTGGTACTTTAGGATAAAGTACTGGTCAGTAGTCGCGAGGGCTATTAGTGATGCGTTCTCAGCCCAGTAGACGTGTGTTGGTTGAATGTCAATACGTCTTATCAGTCTGAGATTTTCCCAGTCGAAGAATGAAAGCCCTGAGACTGATGAAACTCCCAAAAGAAAACCACCGAATATTCCTATAATTAAAAATTAATAAATAAATTAAAATACAGACAATAAAAAAAATTAATGTGATGACCAAAAGCTTTTTAAAAACAAAATTTTGTACCGAAATTTGTTAAAAAAAATTTCAGTAATTATTTACAAGTGGGATCAAACCTATTTTTGGCCATATTTAGGTGAAAAATTAACATTTTTTAATTTTTTTTATTCTGCTTGTTTTTACACCAAATTTTTTTTTTATATCAAAAAATTAATATTTCGATAGCTTTTTTGCCTTCAAAAGTTGGAAAAAATTTTGGCTCTTATGTTTTTGGATAAAATTTCTATTTTATCTTTTTTTGATATATTTTTTTTTTAAAAAAGTACATAAAAAAACGAACAATTAAAAAAAAAGTTGATTACCACAATTTTAACAAATTAAAAAAAAAAAATTAATAAATTTTTTAGTAAATTATGATATTCATTTTTTTTTAAACTCTTCATTTTTTTTATGTATTTTTCAAAAAAAAATATATCAAAATTTTCAAAACAAAATTTCGTTCAAAAAAATGAAAATTAAAATGATCGACCTCGCTTGTAAATAATTACCAAATTTTAATATAATGTAATCCGAGGATCAAGGATCATAAAAAAATTCAATACTAAATTTTTATTTTAGCGCATCGTTTCGGAGTTTATTACTGAAGGAGTAATAAACTCCTAAACGTTACGCTAAAATAAAAATTTAGTATTGACTTTTTTCATGATCTTTGATCCTCGGATTACATTCAATTACATTTATTTACTTCTGTGTCAGGATCGTAATAACCTTTTTCAAATTACCAAATTTTCTTATAATTTAGTCAACAAATTAAATAATAAAAAAAAAAATAAATTACCGTCAACACCAAAGTCGGGTTTCAAAGCTTTCTTTTCCTTGAAATTTTTGAATACTTTGACAACCGACGAACTTTCACGTACAGCATACTGACTGGAATCAGCGGCCCAAACAAACTCCAAAGCTTGACCAAAGGCCTTATTTCTCAGCGCCATTGAGGTGTAGATAATATACTCGCCATCTCCACAAACAACCAGGAACCGACCATTGGGATTATGCTGAATAGTCTGAGGATAAATTTCGCAAGCACCCATATCTTTAACAGCCAACGGCAGACGTTCTCCGTCTTGAACTTCTTCTCCCATGGCCTTGAGATTAACTTGCTGGATCTCGCTGTGTCTTGCCCAAACAATTTTTCCTCCCATCGAGTCCATGGAGACAGCTGGCTCTTCTCTACCAACTTTTATCATAACACTTCCTTCGTCGTAACCGATGGCCACGTTGTTCGAGCCACGCATGCTGGAGATAGTCCAGACTCTCTCGAAGCCATAGTTGAGAGAAGACTCCAGCCTGTAGGTACCTGCATGCCAGATTCTCACCGTGCCATCCTCGGATCCAGTTAAGACAATCGGCAGCTCGGGGTGGAAACAGACTGCAGATATGTTCTGAGTGTGTCCTTCTAACGTTTGAACACATGTTTTGTTCTGATAATCCCATATTTTTACATATCGGTCATCAGCACCGGATATTAAGTATGGCTTGTCACCCCCGTGATAATAATCAACGCAGTTTACTCCTTTCTCGTGACCTTCAAGGGTAAAGTTCGCAGTCGACGATCCGAGTTGCCAAACTTTGACAGTTCTGTCAAGTGAAGCACTTGCGAATGTGTTATTGTCTTTAGGATTGAATACTATCTGCATTACATAGTGAGTGTGCCCTTCAAAAACCTGCTGTCCTCGCCATGCCTTCTCCCAATTCCATAATTTTATTAACATGTCATCTGAAAAGTAAATTTATTGGTAATTTTATTTAAGAAGGTAATAATAAAATTTAAATTATTATAACTGGCAACCTTGCAGTTAGTATGTGACTGCCGTGACTTGTGAAGTATAAATAAATAAAATTTTGCTATATTAAATAATGACTTTTGTTAAATTGCACTGTACTTTTTTAAATATTGACGTTTTTAAAGATATAAGCTCATCCCGATGTTACACTCATCAAGAGCTTTCATTTGAGTACCCACATGCATTTTTGATATATTTTTCATATATACATATATATATATATAATATATATAAATATATGAAAAATTGATGTGGGTATTCAAATGAAAGGTCTCGATGAGTGTAACATCAAGATGGGCTTATATCTTTAAAAATGTCAATAGTTCACTAGATACAAGATACAAGGTCATTTCTTAATTATGTTAAATTGCACAGTACTTTCATAATTATTGACATTTTTGAAGAAATAAGCTCATCCCGATGTTACACTCATCAAGAGCTTTCATTTGAGTACCCACATGCATTTTTGATATATTTTTTATATATACATATATATATAATATATATAAATATATGAAAAATTGATGTGGGTACTCAAATGAAAGGTCTCGATGAGTGTAATGTCGGAGTGAGCTTATATCTTTAAAAAAGTCAATAGTTCACAAGATACAAGGTCATTTCTTAATTATGTGTCTAGAGATAGAGTATTTTCGAATGCAGCCTAAATACTTATCATAATAAATTGAATATCGGTGAGAATGGTATGAAACCTTAAAAAGGCATAAATTAAAATCAAGATCTTTGCAATGACACTAAATTTCACTAAAAAAAACCGATTTTATCATCTGACTATCCTGGACACAAAATTTTTCTCATTCTCTTAATAATATAAATTAAAATATTTACCACTACTGGTAAGAATGAAAGGCTGAGTTGGATGGACCGCAATACATCTGACATAATCACTGTGTGCTTCAAAAGAATGAACTCGCTCCAAAGTATTGTAGTTAAATACCCTCACTTGCATATCATCTGATCCTGTTACAACCCAATTTTTTCTGGGCACAAATTTTGAAGTTCTTACGGGAAGATCACATACTTCAAATGTTTTTACCAGTGTCTGTGTTTCATGATTCCAGATGTTGACATTTCCTTGGTACAGCGAACATAACATCCACGGTTCTGACGGATGTAAGTCGACACTTTTAACTCTGTCGGACCTTGCGGTCAATTTGCGCTTTATATCTAGCCTCAGAGGCTGAAAAAATTTTATTTTCATAGTTATTGTTGTAAACTAATTATTAAATAAAATAAATAGATTCTATGCTGCGGTAAAAACTTTATAGGTTATATTGCGGTATGAAAATCATTACAGGAGCAAGTAATCATTTAAAATAAAATCTTGGCATGATATATTAATTTGTTTATTTAATTAAATAATTCGATAAAATTTAAATTTTAAAAAAATGAAATATGTGGCGAAATTGACGTGTCCACTGTTAGTAAAGACACAGTGGTTACTTGAGGAGCAAGTTTATTCATTTTTATTAAAGAAATTACAGGAAAATAAGGGTTAAAAAAATTCAATTTTTAATTAAATACTTACCATTTTTAATTATTTTATTTTATAATAAATACAAATTTAATTATATTTATCCTAATGATTTATATTTTTTTGATCCAAACAAGACACAACTATAAAAACCTTACACTTACGTGGCGCAAAATAATGGACATATAGCGGCGCGCGCATCTAGTTATCTATACATACATACATACTCAACTGACATATATGTAAAATTCAAATATTATTTATATCAGTTTAAATAAATTAAAAGTTACTATGAAATTAATTTTTTTATTTTTCAACATGATAAATATTTCTGTAAAATATGTTGTTTGTAATAATCTAAATTGAATGAGAGTTTAAAAAGAAAAAACCTTTTTTTTTTGTTTTATTAAATCAATGTCTATCATACACCCTTGTGTACATCAATAAACCATGAAAAACAAATAATAAAATAAATTTTGATTGTATAATTTTTCATTTTTTTTAATTTCTGCATGTCAATTTTTGCCATAATTTTTTCTTACAAAAATTCTTAGGGCCAGTTTTTCAATCCAGGATAAAATTTTATCCAATGATGAAATATATCTATATATTTCATATATATAAATATACTGGCAATAATAATAATGATACTTTTATCCCGGATTGAAAAACTGGACCTTAAAATTATCAAATATCTGCTAAATTAATTTTCATTAGTTTACTGATATTTACTTCAATCACCTAGAGTGTAAACTGTAAAATTTTTGATGTTCTGTATTAAAAATGTTTTTAATATATTAATTACAAAGCTCTAATTACTGTCTATTCATCATAATTAATCCCGGAAAAAAATGAAATATATTTCCGTAGATCTACTCACACCTAAATTTTGGCGAGTTTTTGATGTACGGAGATAAAAAAATGGTTAATTTATATAAAATGTAGATTTATTTTATTTTTTCTCGAGATACTTTATCATCATCAGCTATTTTACCTTTATTCTTCATGGCCTTTTCTTAAAAGATCTTTTTGGATTAAAACTCAGTGTAGCTGCTCTCTTGTCATCTAGAGAATACTATTCGATGAATTATTATTAATGCAATTATGACTTACAAGTTGATAATTTAATTATTTAAATACTCCCGTTTGGTCCCAGAGAGTTAAAAATAATAAATTTTCTGTAAATTAAAATTAAAATTTCTGTAAAGAATATGATTTTTTTCATATTAAAAAAACAATTTCAATGAATAAATACAAAAATATTTAATTACAATTTTCGATATTTATTTATAATTTTTACAATTGAAATTAATGCGAGTTTTTCCACTGAATTACCACCCACGCATAATGCCGCACTGAAAAAAAAAAAAATTCTTAACTGGAGGGTAAATTTTCTTGGCTCAAAAGCTAAGAAAATTTTTTCTTGCTCCAAAATAACTTTTGTCTTCCTTAAAATTTTCTTACTGCAAAAAGTTTTTTTTTTCTGTGCAGGCCAAACTAAACTTGTAATAAATTGTGGATTCTATAATCAAAAGGGAAAAAACTTAAAATCTTTGAACTTGTTATAATTTCTAACGTCATAAACCGCTATCGGATTTTCATTTTACGTCATTAATATAACTGCGTCATAAAATATTAAATACGATGACGTTTTCAATACCTAATTTCCTCTTCATTATCATTATCCAATGAACAATATCATTTTACCCCCTTTGACAAGTTTATTCGCTTGGTTTGAACTATTTTTATAACGCATAAATTCAATAGCGCATGAAATCAAAAAAACCAAGAGTGAACTTTGTCATAAGCATACAAGGAAGCTACACGTGTTAGGAAGAGTGTTTAGCACGGAGTCTGCTCATATACTTCCCATCATTTATAACCGGATACTCTCCGGGATTTTCATCATTATCTGCCAAGCAGTCTCACTGCAAGGATTATCGCCGCGATTATTATTCCTTTACAAAATATTAAACTCATTTTGCTTACTGTTAATTATCATCGTTATTTAATATCTGTTGCTGATTTCGTCAATTTTATTGTCAGTTATCGTGCAATATCTGCAAGTTTTTATATTCTTCATCTGTCTTTGGGATTAAGTTCAGTTGTCAGAAGAATATATCAATTAATTTACAAAGTTCCATTTGTAAATTCAATTATATCAACGCTCTAACTTTATCAAAAGTGGAAACTCATCAGTTTATATCATTTTTGCAGTAAGTTTTCTTCTTAATTTAATTTAATATCATTTTTACATCAATTTACTATTTTTAATTACACAGAAAAAAAAATTTACATGATGAAATTCTTAAACTAAAAAATTTTTCTTGGTTTAAGTAAATTTTATTTGATTAAAGAATTTTTTGTCTTGATTATTCAAAATGAAAATTTTCAAAATTATTTTCTTGGTTCAAGAATTTTTCTCTTGAATCAATTAAATTTTTTTTTCTGTGTACATCTATAATTTTTTCAATAGAACATTGCAAGTATTGATTATTTTTTTTACAAAAATTTATTTATAATCAGATTATCAATATCTTGTTATAAATCTACAATTTTAAGTCTTCTTTAGCTAATTTTATTAAATATTAATTATTAACTTTGAGATATTAATTATAATTAATGGTACCAAACTTAATAATATAAAAACAGTTGTAATTTACCTTTTATTAAATGAATAATTCTATTTTTATATTGTTTGTAATATCAATAATGTATTTTATTAGCATATTATTTTATTTGTATCTTAAATATAAAAGTAATCTAAATCTAAATCTAAAACTTCTTAAAATAAAAATATTTCATTTTTTTATTACAATCATAAAATAACTAACTAACTTTTAAAAGTTTAAATATAATTATTCAAATTTATGAATCTGAAATTTTGATTATTAAACAATAAAAAGTTCTAATTTAAAACTCTTTTTCCGCGAAGAAATTATCCGCGTGACCTATGCAAGTGATATTATTATATAACAATTATTTCTTCTTGCTAGTACCTCTGACCTACACTTGAGTGGCCATCACCTTGCTGATGAGCCGAGTAAATAGCAGTTTTTCTTAAAAGACACGCACATTCCTGTCATTATTATCACAACTCTACAATGAAGGTCATGTATTATCGACCGTTTAGTAAAACTTCTTTAATATGAAATCCATTGACCGCTATGATTGCCGTTCACTGCATATCCTTGACAATAGACTCAATGAACTGTCGCTAATTAATTAAATGATTACGGAAATAATCAACGGCATTTATATTCTTCATAAACAATACATTGAAAGCTTAGTATTTTTACTAAGAAGAAATAAATATTATTTAATTTACAGATATTGATAAAAGTAGCAAAACTGGAAGTATCAATCAATCATTCGTCAGGTAAAAATGGCGAGGCAATCAATATCGGATCGAAAAATCCCTCACCTGAGGGACATCTTTGGTTTCGACAACAACAACAACAACAACAACCAGGTGCAATTGGAAAAACTTGGGAAGCTGGAAGAGACGTCGTTAAGCAACAATCAGATGAATCAGACGCGGAACCGCGATTACAGCAAAATTCTAACCGAGAGAGACGTAAAGCACTTAGAACAGCACCTGTCGATGAAGAAGACTATCCGTAAGAAGATAATGAGAGACTTGCAACAAGCGTTTGTAGAAGACCCCAATGAATTTAGAGTGGATGATGATATCCCTCTAGAGAAGCTAAAAGCTGAAATTAATTATCGAAGCTTGAGCTTCGGTTTTCCTTCACAAAAACATCGATGCGCGATAGGAAATACTGAAAGCACATTCCTGGAAATGCTTCGTGCCGATGGAGAAGGTATTTTTTTTTATAATAAGTAATAGTTTTTTATTTTATTTATAAAAAAAAAATAATACTAAAGTTAGCCGATATTTTTTATTTTTTTTTTTATTTATTAAATTAGCACAAAAAAATGTTTAAAAAAAATAAAAAAATATTTTTAAAAAATTGCACTTAAAGTTTTTAAAGTTTTTTGCGAATGAAATTTTTTAAAAAATTTTTTTGTGATAAATTTTTTCATTAAAAAAAATTATAAAAATTTTTAGATGGCTAATTTAATTTTCATAAAAAAAAATACTTATTAAAATTATTTCTTCTAGGATTTGATAAACGTCTAACAAATGGATATGGCTATGACTCGTCTCGTAGTAGATCTCCAGAAAGAATGCCTTCAATTGTAATAACACATCATTTTGATACAGACGAAGATTCAACTAACTCTTACGATTCATTAGAAACTACGCTCACTCCAAAAGAAAATAGTAAATTTTGGAGACGTTTCACAATTAAGAATTTTGATAAGCGATGAATATTATAATTCGGTTTGTTTTACTAAAAATATTATTTTTAATATTCATTTAAACAGCTGTATTTATATTTTATCATGAACACTATAATTATCGTTACTGTTATCATATAGTTATATATTTTTGTTATTTTAAATTGATAATTAAGTTTTTAATCATATTCGTGTGATTTTACTGATACGAACGAAACTTTTGTCTGTGATACGCATAGTTAATATTATTTATATTTTAAAAAAGATTATTGTAAACTAAAAGTTTAAAAAAATGTATTGATTCTTCTCATAACTATGAAGGTTTGATGAAGATGAACAAAAAAATTTACTCGATTTAAACTTGTATTTTTTTAAAAAGTTAAAAAATTTCACTGTTACACAACAATCGTATAAAAAATTTTCACTTTCATAATATATTTATAAAATCTTAATTATTTTTAAATTTCGGTGGGCGTTTCTCAATAAATGCTGACATACCCTCTTTTTGATCGTCCTAAAAAATGAATTATATAAAGTATATTAATTATCCTCGAGTATTTAAGATTATTATGTAAAATTAAAAATTTTTAATAAAATATTACCAAAGCAAAAGTCGCTTGGAACATTCTTCTTTCAAAGCTCAGCCCTTCTTGGAGTGACAATTCGAATGCTTTATTAACAGCTTCTTTAGCTAAAGCCACTGATAGTTGTGAATTAGCTGCTATTTTTTCACCTAGTTTAACTGCTTCGTTGATCAATTGATCTGCTGGGAATATTTTGCTGACCAAGCCTGAGAAATATTAATTGAGTTTTTTTCATGTATAAATAAAATATATAGGGTAAAAGACCCCATTACTGACACTTTCTTTGATTTTGGTATTTATTCAATTAATGAAATCATTAATTTTAATAACGAATATATTATTTCTAATCTTCAAGACCTTTAGATTAAAAAAATTTAATTTTTATTCCAAATAAAATATTTTTTCATTGAAAAAAAAAGTGCCACTGATAGGGTTTAAAGGTGCCACTAATGGAGTCTTTTACTTTACATGATGTATATCCATCACCTACCAAATTTCTCAGCTTCTTGGGCAGTTATCTGATTGCCAGTCAGAACCATTTCCATAGCTTTACTTTTTCCAATAGCTTTGGTAAGTCTCTGAGTGCCTCCAGATCCCGGGATTGTACCGATGATTATCTCTGGCTGACCGAATTTAGCTTTATCACCAGCATAAATAATATCACACATCATTGCGATTTCACAACCACCTCCTAACTATTTCATTTTAACATTATTAATTATTAAACTATCTACTCATTACTATATCGACGGTACTTTGCCAAAGTACTGTTGATATTTGTTTAATTATTACCAAAAATTAACTACATACAGCGTAACCATTAACAGCGGCGATAATCGGCTTTCTGATTTTAGAAATATCGCTCCAATTTTGTAAAAATGATCCCTTTAAGTTTCCAGCAAATGTATTACTTGCCATCTCCTTAATATCCGCGCCTAAATAATTATATATCTATTTATTAATTTATTAATTTATTAATAATAAATAAAAAAGGAATAATGTTTTTTGTAAAAAAATTATTTTTTTACCAGCTGCAAATGCTTTTTCACTTCCAGTTAAAACAACAGCTCCTATTGATTCATCTAAATCAAACTTTTCCATGGCGTCATTTAATTCTGTTATTAATTGCTGGCAAAGAGCATTGAGAGCTTTGGGTCTGTTGAGGGTCACCAGGCCAACATTCTGTTTCTCACCGGCTTTTTCTGCTTTGATGAACTCATATTTGTTCAAAACTGATGCTAGAAAATATTTATAATAATTTTATTAGTTATAAGGTATTAACTGAATTAGAAGTCATTGAACTCTGGATAATTAATTTATTTTCAATCATCAATCCGGCAAGTATTATATAACAGTATATTTATGAATTAATTATTTATAAATTAATAAAATAATTATTCTTACTCACCAGCATAAAGTTTGGTGGAAGTTGAAAAATTTTGAGTATTTTTTGGCAAACGATTGATAAAATTACGGGAAATAATTCTCATAGCCATGATGATGTGTCGAACCTGTTGCTGGTTGTGAAATAAAAATTCGATATGTGAATTAATATTTATGTATAATAATAAAATTATACATAAATTGCTCTACTGGCAAAAGCGGCCAACATATCTTACTACTATGATAAGGAGTTATCATCATATAATACTTACTCAATTTTACACTATCGCATACCATTTACGGTTGAATTCGTATAAAATGTTGATAATATGAAAATATAACATTATATTGGTTATATATAAGCTAGATTTACATCATATATATTACATAGAAAAATACTTACAGGTTCATATATGTACATATATGTATACACTATAGTAAGAAATAAATATACTTTTATTTCGATAAAAAAAAAATTGTATTCAAGACTGAAAACTGTTCAACATTACTTATAATATTAAATCATACATAAGTACATGTACATTTTTATTTTTTTTTTACTGAATAATATGTATACATATATTTATATATATTTTAGTTGCTTAACAAATATATCTCTAAGTTATTTGAGATGGAAAAAAAAGAAATTAATCATTTTTTAATAATTAGTATCTGATATATTAATATTATTATTATTATTAATATTTTATTATTGTTATTATCACATCGAACACGTGATATCAGTCGAGTATATTTATTTGAGCGATTGCGCATTCAAATGTTTGAAACTTCCAAAGTAAAGAAAATGTATTTATCATCAAATATACCCTTCCATTTTAATAATGGAAAATTTAGTAAAACAAAATAATTAATTAAATGAAAATTATTATTTTTAATAATATGCTTAAATTATTTGGTTTAAAATTTTAACGATTTTGCATAGAGTGCTGCAGTGGCTTGCATCTCATCACCATTGAATCTACGGAGCTCGGCGATAACTTGAGCTCGAGGAAATCCAAGAGTTACAATAGCTTTGACATTAGCTTCTGTAAACGGATCACTCACTGTAACTGTTTCTAAATTATCTGATTTCGATGTGCTAGTTGATGGGTTATTCGTGCTGCTTTCTATAAATAAAATTATTATAAAATAAATAATTATTTTTATACATTATATAATTAATTTAAATAACTTAATCTTGGGAATTTGGACAATAAATGAAGATGTTAAATTATAAGAATTGCAACATTTCAGCTTATTAAGATTCGCCTGATGAAGCTAAAATAAATCAGCGAAACGTTACATAGCATTGTTATAATTTAACATCTTTATTTATTGTCCAAATTCCCAAGATTAATCTATTTAAATATGGAGAACTTAAATATTAATTATATAATTAATAAATACATTCATATCAGTATTAAAGTCTAAAAAAAATTTTACCTTGCTGTTGTCTTAATTTTTTTGCTTCTCTAGCACTGTCCTCTAATACTTTTTGATATTCCTGGTCATCCATTGCATCATTATTACCACTTAATCTTGCACATTCCGGTAAATCACCTGTTAAATATAAAAAATTAATTAATTGGTCATATTTACAATTTATAATAGAAGTTATATTTATACAAACCTTCGGCTAAAAATTGTGTTTCTGTTCCAGTCGTGCCAATTTTCAAAATATTTTTCTTAAGATCTATACAACACTGATGCCGTTTTAGCATATCTAAACCAAGAAGCATGTCCATTGGTTGTTCCTCAAGAACACTGAAGGACGTTGTCAAGTGATCGTTAGCTATTTGTATTTGCACCATGTGAATACGTCCAATAATACGTTGAACACCTACACCTTTAGCAACTCCGGCCCACCTTGTGTCTACCAGTCGCATAATATGACATCTTTCAGCACATGCTGCTGACATTATTGTAGTTTGAGCACCTAATTTTTAAAATACATATTATAAGCTTCAGTAATTTACATCTAAACAATATTAAATAAAAAAAAAAAAATATTTTTTGATTAAAAATTGTTTCTTAAAATTTAAATATTTATAAGTTTGAAATCATCTGAACGTTTATTACAAAATATACATTTTATATATACCGAATGTATAAAATTAGAATATACGAATTTTTTTCTTTGTTGTAAAGTATCTGTTTCGAGAAACGAACGAATATTGAACGCGTTTTAAATTTAAAAATAGTTGCGCTGAGAAAAACATGTTCTTGACATAGCAGCAACGAAAAATTATTTTTCTCAATGCGTAAATATTAAAAATAATTATTAAAAAATAAATCAAGTAGTACCTGAGTCAATAAATGCTTTGACAGGAAATCCATTGACTTTACAGTTGATATAAAGCATAACAACTGTTCCAAATGTTTCAGGATTATACTCCATAGCTGCTTCCATATTAGCTTCGATATTTTTTTGTTTTATTTCTTCAGCAATTAATCTTTGAGATTCAGTATCAAATGGATCTGCGTTCATCATTCTTAGTCGTTGTGCTTGACGTTCTTCGCGAATTTTTATTTGTTCTTTTAGTATCGTTGAAAATTTATCTAAAATTAAATTTTTAAATCAGTAATAAAAAATGAAGATGATAGAAAAATAGTATACACACCTAGGGAAGTAAATAAGAAAGCTTTACTTCCCTAAGTGTGTAATATACTATTAAAATAAAAAATTTACCAAGATTCCCTGAGAGTAAAGCATTGGCTAATCTAGGATTATTCTGTTTCAATAAAGCCAATTGATCAGGATTTGCTAAAAACATGTCTCTTATCATGGCAGGATCATTTTCATTTCTTGGATTTTGTACTCGAGAAGAATTACCCGATGAATTAGGGCTACTACTCAATGGTGCTCCTGGAACTCGAATTGAGCTAAAGTCCAGAAATGGTACGGCTGAAAAATAATATTTATGTTTATAAAAATTGTAAAATTAATTTTAATTATTTTTTGTGAACAAAGACCTTGTATTTTTACATCACATAAATTAAAAATAAAATTTTTTTATTATAAATAAATTCAGTAAAAATAATAAATTTACCTCCATTATTACTTGGAGGTTGATTTAATTCAACTCCACTCTGATGCATGTGTTGCAATATTACAGCATCACCATCTCTGATTCCATGTTCTTTTAAAGACTTTTTATCATCCATAAGAGGCCGTCCATTAAATGCAATAACAGTTTCGAGAGCCGGAACCCCACACTCGACCTCGCAAAACGCTTTGAAATTTTCTAGCTCTAAATCCTCACTTACATCCAGGACAAATATATCATCACCGAGGGTCATTACTGTTACTTTCATCCTAAAATCATAATAAAAATTATTATTTACTATTACTTATCATTTATATCCAAAAATTTATTCAACTTACTTGATAGCTTTGTAAATATTGCAATAAAACCAGTTTATATCGTTCACTTATATATAATAATAATAATAATAATAATCACAAAGGCCAAAAGTCCAAATTTATCGTTGTTCAAATTAATATTAATATTATTGTTGTTGTTGTTATTATTAGATTGTATACAAGTTTGTTTATAAATTTACTAACTAGAGTAAAAATTTTAGACCTAATACTGCTCGCCGAAAATAAAATTGAAAAAAAGAGCTGCCGCTAAATCACGGAGTAATAATAACTTGAACTGAATGATAATGGACTTTTCTTTAGCTGGATCGTTTCTTTTAAACATATAAACAATAACCTCAAAAAAACCAGCTCAGCAAAAAAAATATAGACACGCAGCAACACGACAGAGACTGTACCTGTAAACCTATATTGTGAGATACATCACTACCACTAGAAAGAAAAGGAGAAAAGAAGCAAAATTATTATTATCATCATTATTATTATTATGAGTATGGATGATGTTAATACACACACACGTACTTACTGTATGATGCTGTCATCCTTATTTATGGGGTAAAAGTAACAGAAATTTGATTTTTTATAATTTTTTATAAATAAATTGAATATAAATTAATTAAATTAATTTAGCAGATATTTAAGAATTTTTTTTAACATATAAATTATGGCAAAAAAAAAGTTGACATGTAGAAATTTTTTAAAATAAAAAATGCAATTTTTTTTAAATAATTTTTTTGAAAAAATATATTTGCTAAAAAAAATAAAAAAAATGGACTTTTATGTCATTATAAATTGACTGTCGATTGATACAAAAAATTACAGCGATAAAGAATTTTGAATAATTTTCATGTGGATATTTTTAATTTTTTTTTTTCTTATATTATTTATTAAAAAATATTTAATTTTTATTAAACATCTGATTTTTTAATGAAATTAAAGTTAGCTGTCACTTGACCAATTTTTAATTTTATTTAATAATTAAATTAATTCTAATAAATTATTTAAAATAATTGCATTTTTAATTTTTTAAAATTTCTATATGTCAATTTTTTTTTTCTTATTTTTTTTGCCATAATTTATTTGTTAACAAAAGTTCTCTAAAAATTATTAAATATCTGTTAAATTAATTTTCATAATTTTTTTAATAAAAAAATTAGCTCAGAAAATATTTAATAATTTTTCTAATAAATAAATTACCGCATAAAAAAAATTGACATTTAGAAAATTTAATAAATTAAAAATGCAATTTTTCAAAAATAATTTTTCGGAACAAATGTTTTTGTTTCTTAAAATTAAAAATTATTTATATTTCTTTCCTTGTCACTTGTCATATATCATATGTCATCAAAAAATAAAAAGGAAAGATGGAGAAGCGTCAACGGAGAGATAGTTTCTCTCTCTGCTCTCTCTGCTCTCTCTGCTTAACGTTGACGACGATTGACGCGCCACTAATACAATGTTACTTTTGTATTTAAATTATTTTACAGTACATACTGTACATGTGTTGTGTTTGAAGTATGTAAGAATATCAGTTTACTTATACTTATACTTAAAAATTTAAATCTTGAATTAAAAATCTTAATAAAATAAAAGTAAGACACGTAATAATAATTTATATCAATGCTGCTCTCCGAAAATAACTAATGTTTACATAACAATTATTTCACACCGCTGGAAGATACTTGTCCAATGGAGTTTTATATTAACAACAATAATTATTTGCGATGCAAATCGCAACAAAATTAATAATCGGTATAATGAGTACATGGAAGCTAATACAACGACGTTGTTACGATCTTCTTTCACATAAATCGTCATTACTTATTATTCTTATTGCATTTACATGCATATTTGTTGGTACTGTACACTTTGGAGAGGTTAGGATTAATTAGTATTTATTTATTTTTTTAATTTGCTTAATTTATTAAATTATAACTAAAAAATATTTTTAAAAAATTACACTTATAGTTTTTGAAGTTTTTAACAAATGAAAAAATTTTTTTTTTATTTTTTTATAATAATTCTTTAATAAAAAAAATCATAAAATTTTTTAGATGGCTAACTTTATTTTCATGCAATGTGATGATAATTTTTTCAGGTATGGCTTGCTTGGAGTAAAGAAAAGTATCAAGCCGTATTCCATTCGTTCAATGACAATATCATCGGCACTTCGTTTCAAAATAAACTGTGCCAGCATGTGCCTATTGATGTAGTTTATACGTGGGTGAATGGTAGCGATCCAACGTTTATTCAAGATTTACATAAATATATACCAGTTCCTAATGACATTAACGCAGCCGTGTCGAGATTCAATGATAAGGATGAGTTGAGGTACTCGTTGCGATCTCTAGAAATGTATGCACCATGGGTTAGACATGTTTATATTATTACTAATGGCCAAATACCCAATTGGCTGGATATGGATAATGAGAGGATGACACTTATCAGTCATCATGATATTTTTCCTAATAAAAATCATCTACCGACTTTTTCAAGTCCAGCTATTGAAAGTCATATCCATAGGTAATAAATTAATTAATTTTTTTATAGAGTAATAATAGATAAATAAATAAACAATGTTGTTTTGTGTTGTAGAATACCAGGAATATCTGATAAATTTTTATATTTTAACGATGATGTTTTCCTGGGTACGGAAGTCTGGCCTGAAGATTTTATCACGCAAACTGGCGGGCAAAAAGTTTATTTAGCTTGGTGGATACCGGACTGCTCCGATATTTGTCCTTGGGCTTGGGTTGGAGATGGCTCTTGTGATCCTGCTTGTAATACAACAGTTTGTGAATTTGATGGTGAGATAATCTATATTATTAAGAGAATAAGAAAAATTTTATGTCCAGGATAGTCATATGATAAAATCGTTTTTTTTTTTTTTTTTTACGTGAAATTTAGTGTCATTGTAAAGGTCTTGATTTAAATTTATGCCTCTTCAAGGTTTTATATCATTCTCATTGATAGTCAATTTATTATGATATTTAGACTACATTCGAAAAATGCTCTATCTCTAGATACATAATAAAGAAATTACCTTGTATCTTGTAAAATATTGACATTTTTAAAGATATAAGCTCATCCCGATGTTTCACTCGTCAAGAGCTTTCATTTGAGTACCCACATGCATTTTGATATATTTCTCATATATATAAATATATAATATATATAAATATATGAAAAATTGATGTGGGTACTCAAATGAAAGGTCTGGATGAGTATAATGTCGGGGTGAGCTTATATCTTTAAAAATGTCAATAATTCACAAGATATTTATTAAATTGCACTATACTTTCTTAACTATTGACGTTTTTAAAGGTATAAGCTCATCTTGATGTTACACTCATCAAGAGCTTTCATTTGAGTACCCACATCAATTTTTCATATATTTATATATATATATATTATATGTATATATGAAAAATATATGAAAATGCGTGTGGGTATTCAAATGAAAGCTCTTGATGAGTGTAACATCGGGATGAGCTTATATCTTTAAAAACGTCTATAGTTAAAAAAGTACATTGTAACTTAACAAAAGTTATTATTTAATAAAGCAAAATTTTATTTATTTATATCTCACAATTCACAGCAGTCACATAGTAACTGCAAGGTTGCTAGTTTAATTTAATTATTTATTCTTTATATTACAGTATTTTAATTATTTTTTTAATTGTGTTAAAAGGTGGAGATTGTAATACAACGCCCATACCAACAGACAGTGAAGTGATGGAAGAAGACGGTGACTATCCGTATAAGCTTCTTCAAATGAATCAAGAAAAAGAAACAGCAAAATTTTTTGATTCATTAAAGCAAAAAAATCAAAATATAAATTCTTCAGTTACAACTCGTCCTTCTGTTATGACTTCTCCATCATCATTACCTTCTTTAAATTCATTTTCAACGTCCAGTCCTTTGAACGTTAATGAAAATTCACTGGATGATATAATTAAATTACTGAAGGATAAACATAATCATATAAATAATACTCAAGATAATGAATTAATACTTTCAAAGAATAGTTTTAGAATAAACAGAACTGCCGACCAAAATGGAGATAAAAAAAGAAAAAAATTATCTACGTCCACTGAAATAATAGGATTTAAGTACGAGTTTGCTCATCCGATGAGTCGCCGTAAGCAGCAAAATCGAAATGATGATATTATAAATCTTGTACATATAAGTGATCCTGAAAAATCAGACAATATTAATAATAACAATAATAATGACAATGACAATAATAATAAATATCCAAGTCACTTAAAACGTAAAATACGTCGACTGGATACTTATGCAGAGTCATTATTATATGTTAATAGAATTTATAACGCAGCCTATGGGTTTCAGCGACGTCGCGTGCCAGCTCACATGCCACATTTATTAGACAAAAAAATAATAGTGGACATGCATGATAAATTTAAATTTGAATTCGATAAAACTTCGTCTCATCGCGTAAGAAATTCTCAAGATATGCAATTTGCATTTTCATATTTTTATTATCTTATCAGTGAAAAACAACAGTCAACTGCTGGTGAAATATTTGATAAATTTGATACTGATAAATCGGGTACATGGTCTGATCGTGAAATAAGAACTCTTTTATCACGAATAAATCCACTTCCGTTGGATTATAGTCTTGTGGTAGATTTTGAAAATGCAATTACTAATTGCTCACGTCGTATTAAATTAACTGATAGTAAAAATGTAGAACCACCATCGGGTGAACGTTATCTTGATTCTATTCTGCCTACTGTGACTAAAGAATTAATAATAAAATGTGACGCGATAGCCAATAAAATTAAGTCGCAGTTTGGTGAAAAAAATCGTTATCAACATGAAATTTTAAAAGCCGGAAGAAATGAAATATTTGAAATGTTAACGAGCAACGTGTCCCAAACAGTACAATTGCTTGATGAAATACGACGAGAGCCAAAAAAATTTATTTGTCTAAATGATGATATGGATCCTTCACGAAAATCAGAGAACGATATTATTCGAGCTTTACTTAATGATTTTTATCGTTCTCTATACCCACTTAAGAGCAATTTTGAATTACCTGCTCAGTATAGAAATAGATTTTCTCACCGAAATGAATTATACGAGTGGCGAGCTAGTCGAGCGAGAGCTAGGAATATTTTACTTTTACTTATATCATTACTGATGTTTATTACGATTTATCATTTATTTTACAATCAAATCCGACGATTTTTACGCAACAGATCTCTTCCGGCTTTTCTTGTGTAATTTATTAAATATCTGTGATTTTATTAAGTACTATTTTATCAATCATTCTAGTCAACTATTTTATATTTTTTTAACTGACTTATCATTTTTTTAATCATCTTAACTCATTTTTATTACTATTCATTTATTGTTATATTAATTAAGAATTCTACAATAAACTATACAATAAATCGTGAATAATTTATGGAATTATTAGTTTTTCATTAAAACAGTGATTTAATTATATTTTTTGATGATCTAATGGAGGACACTGAAAGTGGCGCAAATTTCTTGGTCCAACCATTCCTCCTTGGACTGTTGAGCATTCAGCCATCCATTTACCGACTCTGGTTACTTCACTGGATGATAACTTTGGACCAATTCCTAAAAGAAACAATCCAGAAGAATAATCAAATTTTTGACGTGATAACATCTTATATCGAGAGCGCGCAACAAGCGATATAGAGGCTCAATATCTCTTTTCTCACGTGACGTCAAAGCTAGCAGTTAGAATACAACACAGTTACAAAATTAAAAATTAATTTTGTTAATAATTAATATTAATTATAAATAAATTAATAATTATTATAAACGATAAATTAATAAAATAATTAATATTAATTATAAATAATAATAATTATATCAATTATCAAATTATTATATCAATTTTTGATTAACAATGTATTAATAAGTCTTTTTTTTTTTTGTTAAAATCATTTTTAAATACTCAAAATTTTAAATTTTTAAATACAAAATAACGATAACTCAGTGATAATAATTCAATTCAATTCATAAAATTATGCAATTTTTCATTAATTTTTCTTTATGACGTTATCACGTAAAACTATCATCCGTAAACCGACTTTACAGACAAAAAAATTTTTTTTTTACAAAAATGAATGACAAAATACGTACCTGGAATCATTGGATAGTGTGAAATCCAATTGGAGTTTATTTTACACTTGTTTTTAATTCTAGCTGATTTATTTCTTTCTAAGCCTATGCTATCATCGCTAGCTAATGATCTATTGTCAGAGTCTTTGGTCATCTTAGCAGACTTAACATTTTGATGTCCATCAGCATTCGATGTTGCTGAATTATCTACATTAGCGCTCAATATTTTTTTCTCTTCACTCTGTGTTTTATTATCTTTCTCAAGCCCATCAATCATTTCTTCACGGTCGCGTGAAAGTTGATTATAATTATTAGAAAATTGTTTGTCAATTGTTTGTTCTTCAGTAGCTTCTGAATCTTCAACTGATGGATGTTTTGTTGAATCTTGGGTAGAATTTACTTCATCAGATTTTAATTCAGAAGTACTTTGACATTCTGATAATTCAAAAATTATAAATTCAGACAGGTTTTGATTGGGTTCTCTTTCTTCACCCCCGCAATTTAATCCAGCTAAATATCTGTTAATTATTTTTAATTTAAAAAAAAAAATATAGAAATTTTATAAAATAATATAAAATAAAAAAATTCTTACTCGTAGATCTCCATAAATAAATTTACTGGAATCATTGATGATCCACCATCGGGTTCCATTGTAAATAACTCACAAATAATTAGCATTGTGTCAAAAAGACTGGAACCTAATAGACCAGCAGCAATTGCCAAAAATTTTTTTACTTGACATTTTCGACGAAATTTACCAACAATCATTATCAAATTTAAATCTGTAATGTCTAAACACAAGTCGGTCCATCGTTTCAAAATTACTTCAACTGGTACCGTTTTATTGTAATCTTTGATAAAAAAAAATAAAATTTTTTTAAATTAAACTAATACATTTAATAGAAATAATATTTTATAAACTGACAGTGTTTATAATTACCACCAAGTTGTCGTACAAGCACCTTTAGCAAACCAAATGTCAGGCAAGATCCACTAGCAGTCTCAAGAGGATATTCAAGTCGAGTTTTGCTTGGTGGTTCAGATCCTTCAGCTAACGCACTAAAATAAGCCGTTGACCATTTCAAGAGATCATACGGCTGTGTTCTAATAGCTGCTTTGCAAAATTGTTTTAAAATTACCGGTAATTTTGGAGGAACACTTATAGAACTTGTTCCTCTTTCCTCATTTATCATTTTAATAATAATGGTAAAAATCAATTGTTGAAAAAGTATATAAAAAAACAAACAATTTAGTTGAACTAGTTTTCTAACTGATGTTATTCTTTGTTTTGATAGCTAGCTTGTTGTCTTGACGACCATTCAATAATGGTAATAATAATGGTATGCCATACTTTAACTTTAATAATCAATTACCCTAAAAAATAAATTGATTTTTTAATTTCATAAAATATTTAATTAATTTTTATTATTTAACACTTTTTACCATTTTATAAAAATTTTTTAAAATATCTATAGGATGAAGTCAATTAAACTGAAATTCTTTAAGAATTTTCACTTGTAAATTTTTTTTAATTCCTAAATGTAGAATTTTTTTTATTAAAATTTTATCATAACAATTTATAATAATAAAGTTAGCTGACATTTTTTAATTCTTTATTTTGCTTCGTTCATTAAATTATAATTAAAAAATATTTCTTGTTAATTGCACTGATAGTTTTTCAAATTTTCTACATGTCAATTTTTTTTTTTTAGTAATGATTTTTTTCAATAAAAAAAATTATAAAAATTTTTAGATGTCAGCTAACTTAGTTTTGTTTTTATAAAAATCCAAATTAATTTCAGTATCATTAAATGCAGACATAATTTTCACAATAATAATAATAATAATAATAATAATAATAATTAGTAATCAGTAAATAGTGACAATATGTATGACATTAAAGTTAGGAGTCACTTGACAATTTTTTAATTTTTTTCAACAACTAAATTTGTTCTAAAAAAAATTGCATTTTTAATTTTTTAAAATTTCTACATGTCATATTTTTTTTTATAACTTTTTTTGCCATAATTCATTTTTTAAAAAAATTATTAAATATCAGCTAAATTAATTTTCATACAATATGTCAGTTGAAAAAAATTTTTAAACTATTAATAGTCAGCTGTCTTCAGTGCGATTGACAATTAAAAAAATTTTCTAAAAATTTTTATCTAGTTTTTAAATTTTCGCGCTTAAATTACAACTTTGCAAATTTTAATAATTTACTATATTTTATGCAATTCACTCTACCAACTGTCTAAATAAAAATCCAGGTGGCAGTGTAATAAGCACAATAAATAAATCCATACCAAAGAGGGGATACATTTGATTTGGAGGGATTTCAACAAAATATTGTAAAATATGGCGTTACTTATATTGTATAAGTAACCTGTGCGCATCAATAAACGTGAGTGTATGTATCCGGCATTTTTATTGCTAAATATTAACCACTAAATTCGCCAAGTTATTCCATCTAACCACTAACAATACTAAAAACACAATAACAAAAGTGAAAAAGTAATTTTTTAGACGTTGTAAAAATGTCTAAATCCGAGGAAACAATACCCGCAACAACGAATGCGACTACAAATTCACCCACAGCTACACCAACTCCGGCTCAATCGCTGACAACAACAGAAACGACAGGTGATACTAACGAGAACGATTCAAATGATTCCTCTGGAGAAACCACATCGTCCCGCGGTGGGGACTTTGAGACCAAATTGGAGACCGATCGCAGTAAGAGATTTGATTATTTACTCCGTCAGACCGAGATATTTTCCCATTTCATGACAAACAACCAGAAAGACAAATCGACTAGTCCATTGAAGGTTAAGCCCGGCAGGCCCCGAAAGATTCAGCCAGCTGATAAGTCCGCCGAAGCTAGCAGCAAAACTGACGCCTCGGGTGACCACAGACATCGAAAAACCGAGCAAGAAGAAGATGAAGAGCTGCTTGCTGAGTCAAACACCAATGTCGCGCAAATTACGCGATTTGAATCTTCGCCAAATTACATAAAAAATGGAGAGCTGCGTGATTATCAAATCCGGGGTCTTAATTGGATGATATCCCTTTACGAGAACGGAATTAATGGTATCCTCGCCGATGAAATGGGTCTGGGTAAAACTCTGCAGACTATTTCCCTGCTAGGTTACATGAAACACTTTCGGAGCATCCCCGGCCCGCACATTGTAATCGTTCCTAAGTCAACATTGGCCAACTGGATGAACGAGTTCAAGAAATGGTGTCCAAGCTTGCGCTCAGTTTGCCTAATAGGTGACGCAGAGACCCGTAACACATTTATCCGGGACGTGATGATGCCCGGAGAGTGGGACGTGTGTATTACTTCCTACGAGATGGTAATAAAAGAAAAATCAGTATTCAAAAAATTCAACTGGCGGTACATGGTGATCGACGAAGCTCACAGGATCAAGAATGAAAAATCAAAATTGTCTGAAATATTGCGTGAATTTAAAACAGCCAACAGGTTGTTACTTACTGGAACACCTCTTCAGAACAATCTTCACGAGCTTTGGGCCCTGTTGAACTTTTTACTGCCAGATGTATTCAACAGCTCCGACGACTTTGACTCCTGGTTCAACACCAACAGCTTCCTCGGAGATAATTCACTTGTTGAACGTTTACATGCGGTACTTCGTCCGTTTTTACTTCGTCGTCTGAAATCTGAGGTAGAGAAGGGCTTGAAGCCTAAGAAGGAGATGAAGGTTTACATTGGGTTGAGCAAAATGCAGCGAGAGTGGTACACAAAAGTCCTCATGAAAGATATTGACATTGTCAATGGAGCTGGTAAAATTGAAAAAATGCGCCTGCAAAATATATTGATGCAGCTGCGTAAGTGCTGTAATCATCCTTACCTATTTGACGGAGCTGAGCCAGGTCCTCCTTACACCACAGACGAACATTTAGTCTACAACTGTGGCAAGATGGTTATTCTTGATAAATTATTGCCTAAATTACAGCAGCAAGACTCTCGAGTACTTATCTTCAGCCAGATGACCAGAATGTTGGACATTCTGGAGGATTATTGCCACTGGAGAGGGTTTCAATATTGTCGTCTGGACGGTAACACTGCCCATGAAGATCGTCAGCGTCAGATAAACGAGTACAACGCTCCTAATAGTGAGAAATTTATTTTCATGTTATCAACACGTGCTGGAGGGTTGGGAATCAATTTAGCCACCGCTGATGTCGTTATTATATTCGACTCCGATTGGAATCCTCAGATGGACTTGCAAGCAATGGACCGAGCTCATCGGATCGGTCAGCAGAAGCAAGTCTGTGTTTTTAGATTCATTACCGAGAACACTGTTGAGGAAAAAATAGTCGAGCGAGCTGAAGTTAAATTACGCCTTGATAAACTGGTAATTCAACAAGGTAGGCTGGTTGATGCTAAACAGACTGCGCTTAACAAAGACGAGATGCTTAATATTATCAGACATGGAGCTAATCAGGTGTTTGCGTCCAAGGACAGTGCAATTACAGACGAGGATATTGACACGATTTTGCAGAAAGGCGAGAGCAAAACTGCTGAATTGAAGCAGAAGCTGGAGAGTCTGGGGGAATCTTCGCTGAGAAATTTTACTGTTGATGCGCCTACGGATTCGGTTTATCAGTTTGAGGGTGAGGATTATCGTGAGAAGCAGAAGATTCTTGGCCTGGGGCACTGGATTGAGCCGCCTAAGCGGGAGCGCAAAGCCAATTATGCTGTCGATGCTTATTTCCGAGAAGCTCTGAGAGTTTCTGAGCCAAAAGCGCCCAAAGCGCCACGTCCGCCTAAACAGCCGATTGTTCAAGACTTTCAATTCTTCCCTCCGAGACTCTTCGAGCTGCTTGATCAGGAGATTTATTATTTCCGTCAGAGTGTGGGATATAAAGTACCGAAAAATCCTGAGCTTGGGTCCGATGCCGCGAGAATTCAGAAGGAAGAGCAGAGGAAAATTGATGACGCTCAACCGCTGACTGACGACGAGGTTGTTGAGAAGGAGAAATTATTAACTCAGGGTTTTACCAACTGGACCAAGAGGGATTTTAATCAGTTTATTAAAGCTAACGAAAAATACGGAAGAGATGATATTGAGAATATTGCTAAGGAAGTCGAGGGAAAAACTCCTGAGGAAGTGATGGAGTACTCTGCTGTCTTCTGGGAACGATGTCACGAGCTTCAGGATATTGATCGTGTTATGGCGCAAATAGAGCGTGGAGAAGCTAAAATTCAGCGACGTGCGGGAATTAAAAAGGCTCTCGATGCAAAAATGGCGAGATATCGCGCTCCGTTTCATCAATTAAGAATTGCCTACGGGACGAATAAAGGAAAAAATTACACTGAAGAGGAAGACAGATTTTTAGTTTGTATGTTACACAAACTTGGGTTTGATAAGGAAAATGTCTATGAAGAACTAAGAGCTACTGTCCGCTCGGCTCCGCAATTCAGATTCGACTGGTTTGTCAAGTCAAGGACAGCTTTGGAGCTTCAGAGAAGGTGTAATACTCTTATTACTTTAATTGAACGGGAGAATCAAGAGCTGGAGGAACGCGAGAGACAGGAGCGTCGTAAAAAAGGCGGCGGAGCTGGTGGCGGAGGTGGAAATGCTGGGACTAAACCTACTGGTAAAAGGAAGCAAGAAAACTTGCCAGCTCCTCAAGAGAAACCAAGAAAGAAGAAGAAATAAGTAATTTTTCTTTCGTTTTATTTCTCATTAAATTAATTGATTTATTTTTAATATTTTTCTCAAATTAATCATTGACTGGCAGATTGTAAACGTGTGTTGCTCCGTAATTTTTTTCTTTATTAGTCGGTACTTTTTTTTTTTTTTTTACTCAATATTGTAAGATTTATTTATCTTAACTATTACTTAGTATTATTCTACTGATATAATTAATATTATTATTATTATGGTAATTAAATTCATAAAGATGTTTTGAATGATATATGAGCAATCTTTAAATTAATTGTTCATTTAAAAAATTATTTTATCGTTCAAGACTTCTTTACTCATAAATAAATTCAATTTTTAAATGCTCAGCTGAAAAAAAAAAAAAAAAAAAAAATTCTTATAATTTTTTTTTAAGCCGTATGACACTGACAAATTTCCTTTAAAAATTAAGTTGTAATATTTTTAAAATGAAAATAAATAAAAAAAGAATAATTTCACAAAGTTTTATTTATACTACATTTATTTATTTATTGTAATTAGTTTACTTTTTTAAATAATTATAATATCAATTAATTATAAATTTTTTTACGTAGTAATAGATATACATAAATTTATTTTATTATTTTAAGTTGCCAATTTTACCTAATACACAATGGATAATTTTTTACAACAACAACGAAATTCAAAAGGTAAGTCTCAATTTTTTTTTTAATTCTTCCTTGACAATTTTCTATTTATTGTTATTATCATACACAATTTTATAGTCCATACCAGGCACATGCTTACTTTTGCACTTTCGCGGTTCTTCAAAATTTATAACAATAATTTATCCATTGATTGAAAATTTAAATATTTAGACTAATAATAAACGTTTGATTTTTTTTAATTTTATTGACTCATTTTAATAATTAAATTTATATCATGAAGGTATAAAAAAACAATAAAAGATTCGTCCATTTAATTAATATCAAATTAAAAAAAAATTAATTATTTTGTCATACTATTTTTTATTTATAGTATTAAATGATATTAATAACAGGTAATATAATTCGAACATAATAACTGCGTTTTTGCGCGTTACTAAAAAAAAAAAAAAAAAAAAAAATTCTTATAATTTTTTTTTAAGCCGTATGACACTGACAAATTTCCTTTAAAAATTAAGTTGTAATATTTTTAAAATGAAAATAAATAAAAAAAGAATAATTTCACAAAGTTTTATTTATACTACATTTATTTATTTATTGTAATTAGTTTACTTTTTTAAATAATTATAATATCAATTAATTATAAATTTTTTTACGTAGTAATAGATATACATAAATTTATTTTATTATTTTAAGTTGCCAATTTTACCTAATACACAATGGATAATTTTTTACAACAACAACGAAATTCAAAAGGTAAGTCTCAATTTTTTTTTTAATTCTTCCTTGACAATTTTCTATTTATTGTTATTATCATACACAATTTTATAGTCCATACCAGGCACATGCTTACTTTTGCACTTTCGCGGTTCTTCAAAATTTATAACAATAATTTATCCATTGATTGAAAATTTAAATATTTAGACTAATAATAAACGTTTGATTTTTTTTAATTTTATTGACTCATTTTAATAATTAAATTTATATCATGAAGGTATAAAAAAACAATAAAAGATTCGTCCATTTAATTAATATCAAATTAAAAAAAAATTAATTATTTTGTCATACTATTTTTTATTTATAGTATTAAATGATATTAATAACAGGTAATATAATTCGAACATAATAACTGCGTTTTTGCGCGTTACTTTTATCATTTAATTTTTATTACAATATTATAATTAAATTATTTATAATTCATAAGTCTACTCACAAAAAATCACTATTAATAATAATAATAATAACAATAATAATAATTTTTTGATGAAGGGCCGGCCTATAATGTCAGATTGACTACATTAGTATATTATTATTATTATTGTTATAATTACTATTATTAATGATTACAATACGCGTTAAATACCTGGCAACTGCCATATTTCCAATATATTATTTTTTAAGTAATACTTAATATAATTATTCGTAAACATATTTATTTAAATAATAATTTTTCGATTCTTACGTAGTGCTGGACATATAGACGGAAAATATCAATGCGCTTAATATTTAATTATAATTTTAACAAAATTTCATTTTTTTATAACATAAGTAATAATGTTTCTTAACTCATCTAACAAATAATTAATAATAAAAAATTAATCATTACATGTACTTATAATTGTAATAAAAAAAAATATAATATATAATACAAGCTTCAGTGAATTTTTAATTTGTTCAAATACCTCAGATTTAATTAATTAAATTAATTAAAATAATAATTAGATTTTTGATAGTCAAAAAAAAATTTTAAACAGTACTTATTTAAAATTAATATTACAGTATTTTTACTCGACTTACATAGTATACGTGTACTTGACATAAGACATATTATAATGATTATTCGTAGTGATATAATAATACTGTTATAAATTATGGCGTGACAAATTATGAGTAATTATTTCGTCAAGTGATTTAACCACATACATACTGTGTTGAAAATTTGTATTTAATTTAATAAATTATCACTCAATTTATTAATTTGCAAAAATTGTACAAATAAAATGTTTTTTTTTTTTTTTTTCGTAATCTAGTGGCTAATCATTAATAATTAATCATTTATTCGTCAATCTTAATATGTGAATATTAATATATTTTATAATTTTCATTTTATCTACTTTTTTAAACCTGTATCAATACATTTTGAATGTTAAAAAATTTTAACCACTCAAAGTCGTCGAAGCGGTATAAAAAAAAATTATTTATTTTGAAATTTAAAAAAGATAATAATTAATAGCTTCTGAAAAAAAAAAAAAAAAAAAAATAATAATAATAATAATAATATAAGTAACTTAGTAACTAAAGTAAAAAATTTTTGACTGAAGATAAATAAATTTTTATCTTTAATAAAAACTAAATTACTTATTTAACTTGCGTTTATCATCTATCAGTTATCAGATGTTAATTGATATTACTTTCTTGAATTACATACTTGTAATACGATTTATTTCTATTATATAGACTGACAGAATGTCAAGTTCAAGAAGCATACTAAATTCCAAATAAAAAAAATACAAAATAAAAAATAATAAATAATTGTTCTTGTATTTTGTGTGGATTTTTTTTTTCTATATTTAAAAAATAAAATAAAGCTAAAAAATATATAATTAATAATTCAGTCAAAAGTAAAGAAGTAAAAAAAAGATAACAGCCAAAAAAAGAGGTAAAGTGCCAGCAAAAAGTGACAATAAAAGCGTAGTAAGTTTAAATTAATAGCTTTCGGCATTAATTACTATTTTTTGCTCGTTTGTAGTCTTGGTTTTCATAAAGTGCATTGTAATTAGAAAATAAATAATATAAGTATTATTTAAATCTGGAATATTTAAATTATTTTTTATTTAATTTTTTCTAATGAAAAAAAAATTAAAAAATAATGAAATTTTCCATCGCGAATAAATTGAAATATAAAAAAATTTATAAAAATGATTAAAACTGTTAAAGGCTCAAGTGACAGCTGGGTCATTCCATGTCAAATCGACCAGTAGTTGGAATCGACCCCTTTCGATTTGAATGAATTTTGGTCAGAAGTTTTCTTTTATCATAAAACAAAGTTCTGCCAAAGGAAAAAAAATAAAAAAATTTTTTTCGAAAGATATACAAATTCAAAATTTCGCGATTTTTCCAGTTTTTCAATTTTGTTTTTGCAATATCTCGAATGCTATTATAGATACAGGAACGGGCTTTTGTTTGTTTAAAAGGGGGCTGTTGAAAAAAAAATATTTTGAAAAAAAATTTCGAAAAATGCCAAATTTGTCAAATTTTGAATTTTTGAAAATTGTCAAAAATGAAGACCGCTATTAAAATTTTGGCTCAATTTTTTTTGTATGATACCTTGTAATGATCTTAAAAGATCCTGAAATTTTTGGATAGGGGTTTTTTTTTTTTTTTCAAAGATATATTTTTGAATTTCAAAAAAAATTTTTTGAATTTCAGAAAAAAATTTATTTTTGTTTTTTGCAACTTCTATACAAGTTAAAGTTATGCAGACACATAATATTGTAATTTTGAGTATTTAGAAATCAAATGCACGACGTGAAAATATTAAATAATAAATTAATTTCAACTTTTATTCATTTTTTAGACATAATCTTGCATCCTTAAAATAAGTTATCCTTAACGCATGATAGAATTTGTTAATTGTCCATTTTTTACTTCATTTAAAGTTGTTGATGCCACTTGACGTCTTATTAACATGGGAATAATTTGTAATTTGAGATTGAGAACTATGTATGTGCAGAAATTCGTAAGTAAATAAGTATTCGAAAGAACGAAAAAAAATTGATATTCTCATGAAATCATTTTTAATTTTTATAGAAAATTGATATCTGTTTGAGTTATTTGAGGTTGAAAATTGTAATTGAAGTGAAGAAACGCACAAAATATATCATGCATTAAGAAAATAAAAAATTATATCATGCGTTAAGCCTGACTTTTAGATTATCTCTAAAAAATGAATAAAAGTTGAAATAAATTTATTATTTAATATTTTCACGTTGTGCATTTGATTTCTAAATACTCAAAATTACAATATAATGTATCTGCATAACTTTAACTTGTATAAAAGTTGTAAAAAACAAAAATAGATTTTTTTCTGAAATTCAAAAATATATCTTTGAAAAAAAAAAAAACCCCTATCCAAAAATTTCAGGATCTTTTAAGATCATTACAAGGTATCATACAAAAAAATTGAGCCAAAATTTTAATGGCGGTCTTCATTTTTGACAATTTTCAAAAATTCAAAATTTGACAAATTTGGCATTTTCCGAAATTTTTTTTCAAAATATTTTTTTTTTCAATAGCCCCCTTTTAAACAAACAAAAGCCCATTCCTGTATCTATAATAGCATTCGAGATATTGCAAAAACAAAATTGAAAAACTGGAAAAATCGCGAAATTTTGAATTTGTATATCTTTCGAAAAAAATTTTTTTATTTTTTTTCCTTCGGCAGAACTTTGTTTTATGATAAAAGAAAACTTCTGACCAAAATTCATCCAAATCGAAAGGGGTCGATTCCAACTAGTGGTCGATTTGACATGGAATGACCCAGCTGTGATTGTCGACTCATTGAATAAAAATAAAAAATAAAATAACAAAAATATTTACATAATCATAGTAATAATGATTTAAAGAGAGTACGATTGAATAACAGTAAATAAGAACGAGATATGCCTCCAAGGGGGTGGATCAGGGGGTGGAGGCAGGGTTACTGGTTACGGACGGCAGTGGCTTCGCTTTCTTGCACCTTCATTACCGTCGTCATCCTCGCCTCCCCGGCGTATCTCTGTATATCTTTCCCCTTTAACGCTCACTATCTTATTATCTAAATAACGTACCAATTTTTTTGGCTCACGTTTTGGAGTTACGGGACGGTGTTCACGAGAATCATCGTCACGATCAACGTAACTGTAACGTGCTATTATTCGGGACTTGAGCTCTTCGTCGTTTACAGCAGCCTTTGAGCGTCGACTGGGTTGCTAGAAAAATATTTAATAATCAAACATACATTTTTATTTAACCTATATTATTAAGAGAATAAGGAAAATTTTGTTTCCAGGATAGTCATATGATAAAATCGGTTTTTTTTTTAGAGAAATTTAGTGTCATTGCAAAGGTCTTGACTTGAATTTGTGCCTTTTCAAGGTTTCATTTCATTCTTACTAATAGTCAATTTATTATGATTAGGCTGCATTTGAAAATGATCTATTTCTAGATACATAATTAAGAAATTACCTTGTATCTTGTGAAATATTGACATTTTTAAGGATATAAGCTCATCTCGATGTTACACTCATCGAGACCTTTCATTTGAGTACCCACATCAATTTTTCATATATTTATATATATTATATATATATGTATATATGAAAAATATATCAAAATGCATGTGGGTAATCAAATGAAAGGTCTCGATGAGTGTAACATCAGGATGTGCTTATATCTTTAAAAATGTCAATAATTACGAAATGACCTTGTATCTCGTGAACTATTGACATTTTTGAAGATATAAGCTCATTCCGATGTTACATTTATCAAGACCTTTCATTTGAGTACCCACATCAATTTTTCATATATTTTATATATTTATATATATGTATATATGAAAAATATATAAAAAATGCATGTG